TGGAGTTTTCAAGTGGAGGGGATTTCAAGGTGAGGGGAGAAGGAATTTCTGTCAGGATCGGGGTCTTGTGGTGCTGCAGGAAAACTCCGGGCTGGTTCTGTTGGGATTTGAGCTGAGGGAGGGATCAGCTCTCCCCCAGCCACTTCTCAAAGTGATTTGATCCCTTCACAGAGTGACTTGAAACACTTCACAAAGTGACTTGATCCCTTCAAGAAGGGATTTGAAACACTTTACAAAGTGATTGGATCACAAAGTGATTTGAAACACTTCACAGAGTGACTTGATCCCTTTGAAAAGTGATTTGAAACACTTTACAAAGTGATTTGATCCCTTCACAAAATGACTTGAAACACTTCACAAAGTGACTTGATCCCTTCAAGAAGGGATTTGAAACACTTTACAAAGTGATTGGATCACAAAGTGATTTGAAGCACTTTACAGAGTGACTTGAAACACTTCTTGAACAAAGCAAGGACTTGAAAAAAAATCCTTGGAGTGACACCGGGAGTCCAGGAAGGGGCACCAGGAATGGCGGGAGACACTTCCAGCACTGGAAGTGAACATTCCACTCATTGCTGCTCCTTGTTTCAGTGCTGGCACCACCAGGGGTGTCACTGCCAGGGTGGCAATGTCAAGGTGTCACTGCCAGGGGTGTCACTGCCAGGGTGTCACTGTCAGGGGTGTCACTGCCAGGGGTGACACTGTCAGGGTGTCACTGCCAGGGTGGCACTGCCAGGGGTGGCACTGCCAGGGTGGCACTGCCAGGGTGGCACTGCCAGGGGTGACACTGTCAGGGTGTCACAGCCAGGGGTGGCACTGCCAGGGTGGCACTGCCAGGGGTGACACTGTCAGGGTGTCACTGCCAGGGTGGCACTGCCAGGGGTGTCACTGCCAGGGTGGCACTGCCAGGGTGGCACTGCCAGGGGTATCATGGCCAGGGTGGCACTGCCAGAGTGTCATTGTCAGGGGTGTCACTGCCAGGGTGGCACTGCCAGAGTGTCACTGTCAGGGGTGTCACTGTCAGGATGTCACTGCCAGGGTGTCACTGCCAGGGTGTCACTGTCAGGGTGTCATTGTCAGGGGTGTCACTGCCAGGGTGTCACTGCCAGGGCAGCAGTACCATGGTTGTGCCCAGCCTCAGGCCGTGCCCACCTTCAGCAGCTGCCTCTCCACCTCATCGATCACCAGGTCCGGGGGCTGCCGCCGGTCCCGGCACTCCAGGTTATCGATGACAACCGCGTAGGGCACCTCGGTGGCATCGAGCGCCCGCTCCAGCCGCAGCTTCTGCGCCGCCAGCATGTTGGTCTCGTTGTCCAGATCCATGATCTCCTTCTGCAGCTCCACCCTCCAGAACTGGATGTCCTGCAGCCGCTGGCCCAGCGTTGCTCTGGAGTATTCCTGGGCTCGCTGCGCGTTGGCGGCCGCCTGCTTCATCAGGTGCGCGGCCTCGGCGCGGCCCCGCTCCGCCTCCTCGCCCGCCGACACCGCCTTGGAGCAAACGCCGGCGTTGCGGCGCTGCCACTCGGGCATCTGGTACTTGGCAGTGCGGAAGCCGGCCATGGCCATGCCGCAGCAGGAGCGCGGCCGCTCGCTGCGGGCCACATGGCAGATCTTGGTGGGCAGCGGGCAGGAGGGAAGCACCGCGGGCTGCGGCTCCTCGGGCTGCGCCATGGCGGAGCCTCCCCTCAGCGCCGCAACCGCCGGCTGGGCGGGCCCGCAGGGTGATGGACGGCCGCGAGCGCCAATCAGAGAGAGTGTGAGCGCTGAGAGCGGCGCTGATTGGTTAGTAGGGAGTGTGGGCCCGCCCCCTCACTGCACGCGGATCGTTGCCATGGTGACGGGGACGCGGTTCCGTTCAACCGGGAATGGTGAGGGGGAAAGAAATGGGAAAAGGGAAAAAAATGGGGGGAAAGGGGAAGAAGGAGGAAAAAAGGGCAAAAAAGGGGAAAAGGGGGAAAAATGGGGAAAAAGGGGAAAAAGAGGAAAAAAGGGGAAAAAAGGGGAAAAAAGGGAACACCGGGAAAAGGGAACACCGGAATAAAGTATTCATCCCAGAGCTGCTTTCCTCATCCCGGTGTTCTTGTTCTTATCCCGGTGTTCCCGTGTCCTCATCCCAATCCGTCCCAATCCCTGTCCGACATCCCGGTGTTCCCGTGTCCCTTCCTTGTGTTCCCGTCCTCATCCCGGTGTTCCCATCCTCATCCCGGTGTTCCCATGCCCCTCATCCCGGTGTTTCCCTGTCCTTATCCCGGTATTCCCGCGTCCTTTCCCGGTTTTCCCGGCACTCCCATCCCTGCAGGAGCCGCTCGCCCCCGCAGCTCCAATTCCCCGTCTGGAGCAGGGAAAAAAACCTGGAGCGATCCCAATCCCAACATTCCCGGCTGGCCGCTCCCGGTGTGGAGGGACGGGAGGGGCCGGGCACATCCAAGGGA